CTGTTTACTCCGAGTGAACTATGCCGCAGCTCCAGCCAGGATTGATGGATGCAGGTGAGTAGGCTCCGGTTACAGCAACGTGTGACGGGGAGCGGCGCACCGAGTCTAAGCAAACGATCCTGAGTGACACTGATAATGTGGCACGCTCATAGCATGAACCAAAAGCTAATCTTATGACGTTTTTCCTCGCCTTCACATGTTTGCTAGTTTGCTTTGAATTGCAAGGTATTTGAAGTGCAAGGTATTCATAGTCCTTGCGATGAATCCTCCACAGATAATATATTGAAGCCCCAGTATTCTATCCCAAGTTGTGGAAAACACTGCAATTATGAGTGCAGCTTGGCCAGTGCCAGTGCAGCATGTGAGCGTGCAGCAACAACATCCCGTGACAGCGTCCAGTGTGGCACCTTGTACGCTGTCCCAGCGTGATGCATCAAACCCAGTGCGCACAACGCTCCCCTCCCATTTTTCTCAATCACTCCTGAAATTCTATCTTGCTGCTAGCTTCCCTGGACTCAAGTGACGTCCATCCCATGTCACCCTGTACGCCCTGATTTGGGGTATTCCCGTGTGCTCCCAAAGCGAGTCTGCCTATGCCACGTTGTTTAATTTTCAATCTTCCTTGAACTTCTGATTTCTTGCACAAGACCGCGTTGCCGAACGTCAAACCTGAGACCATGACACTTTTGCGAATTTCACTCACAACGTCATACCTATGGCAGTTCCACAGTGCGATATTTTTCATTACAGCTGCATTCCTGTTACCCTTAGTCATTACGTATCTTTCGTGCTCCCTTAGACACTCAGCCCCGTTGTTTATCCATACGACAAAATATTCGTATATATTGACTATTTCTGGCGCGAGTTTCTGTGTTTTATGCTCACTGACTTTCTAATCATTAAAAATTTGATTGCCTGTTTATTTCTTTCCTGCTGAACTTCACATTTAACCTATCTCCCTCATTACCACAGATGTCTATCAATACCTGCAGATCTTCCTTGTTGTCGGCTATTAACACTATATCATCTGCATACATCAATGCTGGCATAGACTGTTCACTTTATTTTGCTTGCTTAGCAAAAGAGAGGCTGAAGTCGAGTCGACTCCCTTCCTATTTGGCTTCTAGTCCCTGTAGATACAGCATAAATGGCAAATGGGACAAAGGACATCCCTGTCAACGCCCGCATTGTATTTTTATAGGTTCATATGCCCGTTTTTTCCATTTAAGAACTACCTTGTTACTTTTATATGTATTCTTTAGAAGATTAGTTATTCCTTCTTCCACATCTAGTGTGTCCAGTATTCCCCTCAAATTTTCTTGAGTCACACTACCGTAAGCGCCCTTGATATCTGGAAATGCCAGCTACAGGAGCCTTTGTTCTTTTCTCGCTATTTCAATACACTGCATCAATGAAAACAGATTGTCCTTCAATCTCTTTCGCTTACGGAATTCATATTGCAGTTCTACCAGCACTCCCTCATTTTTCACCCATGTCTGTAGTCTTTCCTTTATTATCTGCATCACCAGTCTGTAAACTAGTGATGTCAGTGTTAGAGGATGGTAGTTGTTTATATTTGCTTTGTCCCGCTTCCCTTTATAGATTATGCTCAACCTGTTTTGTTTCCACCCATGTGGGGCTTAACCATTCAATATTGCTTTACTCACGAATTCTCCTAAAGTTTGCTTAGAGTGTGGTCCGAGTTTTTTTAGTAACCTTATGAGAATACCGTCAGGGCTAGTTCAGGGGCTATTAGGAACCCTTTGCTCCACCTTTTCGACTCTCGTTGTCCTAGTGGAGCCACTGCACTAATTGGTTCATCCGCATCGGGTACGGCGCATGCAGCGCTTTCTTGATGTTTAAATTTTGTGTCATAATTATTTTTAAATATTTCACTGCCTTAACGCCTTCTAGTCTGACCCCTTGAATGGTAGTCCTAAACCTCTGTTCCATGCCTGTCTTATTACTCATAGATTTGAGATTATTTATAAACTTTGCAGCTACCTTTCTATTCTTTTTGTTTACTTCCGATATCCATTGGACCTCCTTTCTTTTATAATTTTCACTGATGAGAACGGACGCTTCTCTGCTGCAGCTCAAAAAGTTACCCCATTTTCTTTTGACATCACCTTTCGGTTTAACTCTCTGTTTAGCATACCTGTGTTCCCTGGAGGCCTCCTGGCGTTTTATTATGGCTCTCTCAATTTCGTCATCCCACCAGCTCTTGGGTGTTTGTCTCCTTTTTCCGGTGGATTTGACTCGTACCTTAGCAAGTTGTAACTCAAAAAGTCGAGTTATATTTGTGTATGTCCACTTCTTTTTAGTATCCTCAGTGATTATTTTTTCATTCTTTTTAGATGTTATTTCTATTTGCCTTTCTAAATAAATATTACCTTGTTGTTGCTAATAATGCCTCATTTCCATTTTCATAGGACATCATTGCGTTATCTCTCGTCGACTTTAGCGTTCCTACGTCCTATATGTTATCTGTCCTTCATATTTCTTGGTACTGCTGCAAAGGGTTAAACCATGCCTTTCACACATATCCATTAGCATTCTACCTGTTGGTCAGGATATCCTTCCATATCTTCGCTGCGCGCATTCATATCTCTTAATATAACTACCTCGTACTCTTCTAGTTCGTCATTGACATTTTCTATCTACTGCCCCATTTCTTGGTTTTCCTGTCTGGCTTTCGCCCCTGTCCACAAGTATACAATACCCAGCAGCGTCATTGGCCCTGCCACTTTCCCTTTCAGCCATAAACGTTCCCTGCACTTATGCTTGACCATTTGTCAGTCTGTATTTTTGATAAAATAACCAATTGCTACCTTTCTTTCTGCTGCCTACTGTTCTATTGCAATATTCCCATGCGTAGTCCGGATTGTTAGGTGGTTGTTCCATGACCCTAAGTAGTGTTTTTACAAACCCATATACCATCAGCTTTTCCTTTCTTAGCTGTTCATCTATCTCTCTCTCCTTCAACCTATTCCTGCCACCCTGCATATCATTATACCCCATGTCTAAATTGGCTCGGCCCTCGTGGCCAAATTGATTTCTACTCCGGAATCTACATGTCTTACATATTGGTGCTACTTTGGAATCGTATCTTCCTATAACACCTGTCAAAGATTTATCCTGACTGTTTTCCTCGTTACTGGCTATTCTAGAGACTGAGGTGCCCGCATGGCTCCCACAAAAGCTACTGCGCCTCCTGCAAGTCGCCAACCCACCTAATGGCCTAGCCTCTCATCGAAGTAAATTTTGTTTCATTGAAAACCCCCCACCTCTGCCTCTCTCTGCTTATTTCCAGTACTTCAAAGCTTTTTTTTCGAATCATCTGCCATATCTTCTTGTTTGCGTTGGCAACCGCTTTTTGCAGGTTTTCGTCACACACCGATACCTCCGGTATTGTGCATATCACTGCCTGCACCTGAGGGCAAATGGCGCGCATGTCATCGACCTATTTCGCCAGTGTGGTTGCTAGTCCTGCCGAATCTTCATGAAAGAAATGGTTTAAACTGCCTGCAGTTATTACGAGGTTTCGTACATCAGCTTTAGGTGCGAGTTTTACGCTCACTTGCCTCACGACTGCTTCCAACGTACGTCCTGAGAACGTCCCTACGGAAACACTTTTGTCACGTCTTACCCTCTCTTTGATTGCTTCTGAGCATCAATTTAAACTCGAGTTCCCAGCGATTATCACGTAATGTGACATTTCAGCTAGAGTATCCCGCACGGGGAGGTTACTTGCATTTGTGACGCTGGCTGCTTTGTCTCCCCCCCCCTCTCACCACTACTTCGCTGAGCTGTGTCTTGCGACCATTGAACCGTCTGAACCTCTTTTTTCCGGACCTGTTTCTCGTTTTTCTCTACCGTTCTGGGTGCCGGTGCGCTACTGTGCTCTCCGCCGGCCGCTCTTATGTTCACCTTTGCTAGTGCCTCTTCGGCTGACATGAGCCTTTCTCCCATAGCCCTTGTTTTTTATTGCTCTGTCACCAATGCATTCTCCAGCTCGGTGATTCTCATCAGCAGTTTACTCTGGGCCACCATAATTTTCCCCATTCTTTTTTCGACCTCTCATTGCCTACACATTGCGTCAGCCTCTTGCGCACTTGCATCCGCACTAGCCTTCATTTTCAAACCCACCACGCATCCTGAATATTTTACAGTCTTTTTAACCATGCCTTTTGACAACCCTTGTCTTCATGAATTGTGCCATTCGTAATTAGAATACACGGAGTACGATGAACTCTGCTCTAAATAGAGAAAGTCTCAGCTCTACTAAAAATTGCGTGTTCGGTGTACGTGCACCTCTACCACTGGGTGGCCGGAGAAAGAAAACACAGAGACACAAAGAAGTAAATACTTGGTGACTTACCCCCAAAAAGCCTTGCAATGTTATAAGTGCTATAAAGAGTTGCACTGCTGCCTTATTAATTATAAAAGCAAGCTCGAAACATGCAAAAACAATTGTCTGAGCAGCCGATCAGTAGCGCTCGAAAAACATGTCTATCCACCATGCCAGTCCGAAATGAAATCTAACTGAACGCTAAGACGATATGATGCGATCACCTACCAGTAGTTCTGCATTCTACACAAGCTTCTGTTAGCCGACAGTACTGCCAGATGGCGTCCGTATTGATTGATTGATTGATATATGGTGTTTAACGTCCCAAAACCACTATATGATTATGAGAGACGCCGTAGTGGAGGGCTCCGGAAATTTAGACCACCTGGGGTTCTTTAACGTGCACCCAAATCTGAGCACACGGGCCTACAACATTTCCGCCTCCATCGGAAATGCAGCCGCCGCAGCCGGGATTCGAACCCGCGCCCTGCGGGTCAGCAGCCGAGTACCTTAGCCACTAGACCACCGCGGCGGGGCGATGGCGTCCGTATACCACACAGGACCTCCAATCAGAACACTATGGTGTTTCGATGCCACTTGCAGCGCAGCATGCAGATACGCGCCCATCTTTTTTTCTGAAGTAAAGGTATTCCTTAGAGTAACAGTTTTTATGTACAGTGATTGAGAGTTATGATAGAGATGTTTCCAACGTCTTCTCCCACGATCCGGTGCCGCTTCTGCGAATCTTCTCTGTTGCCAACACTCTTCTTAGTGTCCCGGAGAAACAGCATCTTCTCTAGGTTTGCAGTGGGTAGTTCGCAGGCTACGCAGAGAATGTAACTGAGAATGCAGCTCCACACAAGCACGAGGAAGGAGTTCGATACCTGCGCAATGGCAAAAAGGTTGCACATTATTTGCCGTGCTCTCAGCACAATGTCAGCAAGGGCAAACACAGGTTGGGCTGTGCCGGTTAGGTGGGTGTCCTTGAAACAGATAAGGAGAAATCACACAGTACTCCAGATTCGTCATTGGTGCGGTTTTTTTCAAAATCGCAAACATCTACCAGCTATAAATATAACTATGGTTCGAGAATACCAAACATACGCTCGGTAAAGCGTTGAGCGCGGATGTTTATGTTTGTCAATGGAGATATGCGCTGCGCTGCCATCATCCGAGGTTGTACAGGCTGTCTAAATCACCCATGGTATGCAGTGCTAGAACGAGTGGCACCAACCCCAGCCACAAGTTGTTAATGGGTCCGTTGTTCTGAGGTTATCTGAAGTATATCATATACGCATTTTTTTCTATGTAGACTGCGTGGTCCTCCCATTGCGTTGTACCTATCATTTGCAGGAGGAGCTTGCCTTCTTTCGTATTCCGCTTTTCGTGGCCACTCATGAACAGTAAAGCCGTGTACAATGTGTAGAAGGAGTGCTTTTCAGTGTGAAGAAAGAATCTAAAGTTTGCCCAAAATGTCAATATATAATTGTTTATCGTCAGACAAAATGAGCACCTGTTTAATTTCTTGCAGTGAAGAGGAGAGAAACAGCTCCATTGCAATATTTGATCAAAGACTGTGCGTTGTAAATAACAAAAAGAAATCTTTCAACATGAATTTGTTATTGGAGTTTAATGTGGAATGTTGTGCTAGAGTACCAATACAAGAATAGATCCACTGCCACATACACGTTCTTCCCATACGCCTTGGCCAGCGTTCAAAAGTGGCGTGTGGCTTCATCACTCTGCCATGTGCCACGGCCCCTCAAGACTGGCTGATGACGGCCATTGTCCTTTTACGCCCTTTGCAATCATTTACCTTGCGGTGAAATCAAAGTAGCGGTGCTTACCGCATTCATGAACGAATCGTATTTATTTGGCACAGTAATTGACGTTTCGTAAATAGCACGTAAATTTCGATTCACTCAAAGTGCTGTTTTTCCAACTTGCGCTTTTCTGCTATACATTTAAGCCAAGTTTTAACTTCCAACCCATTTTGTAATTTGCAGGAACAATATCCAGCACCAGGTTTACGCACCCCGCTTGTTTGCTGTAATGCAGAGGCGAGGTGAGAGGCACCTTGTACACTGCTGGAGCAAACAAATGCAGGAAGTAGGTGGAAGCAATCACTGATCACACCTTCGTGTTATTTAGGTTTCCTTCGTGTGTGTGCATATGTTCGCGCTCGTCGGAAACGCTCTGATTGCAAAAAAGCAGTACATTATCTACCAGTTTGTTTTCTCTTGTGTGTTGTCGCTCTTGCACTGCCCACCACCCCGCATAGTTTCACGAAGCTTTCAATGTTAGAACACTGCACAGTAAAAACGCGCACTTTATTTAGGCAGTGCTAGTACGAACTCTGTTCTGTGTGCTGTTCGAGATGTTGTGGTTTATTCGCAACCATTTCAGAACACGTATACCTTTCGCCTTGTACTATTTTTCACTCATACAACTTCCACGAGTCCTTGTACTATTTTTCACTCATACAACTTCCACGAGTTATATATTATTCGCTTAACCGCATGTCTTCAGGCACCCTGCCGCGGTGGTCTAGTGGCTAAGGTACTCGGCTGCTGACCCGCAGGACGCGGGTTCGAATCCCGGCTGTGGCGGCTGCATTTCCGATGGAGGCGGAAATGTTGTAGGCCCGTGTGCTCAGATTTGGGTGCACGTTAAAGAACCCCAGGTGGTCGAAATTTCCGGAGCCCTTCACTACGGCATCTCTCATAATCATATAGTGGTTTTGGGACGTTAAACCCCACATATCCATCATCTTCAGCCCGTCCTTGTCCACGTCAGCCTTTTAGCGCTTGATACCCTCATTTACCTTATGTTCACTGTGAGTCTCGCTACATTTGTCATAGGTGTAAAGTTTCTGAAAAGGTATTTCAAATTAAACCAATCATAGTGTCCTGGGATCACAATGTGGACGAAGGCAGCAGGCTGGATGTTCAGATCAAACTGCTTGTTTCGCGAACTTGTGGCAGGTAAACGAAATGTCACATTTCTACAGTAGCACACTGGCCCTGATAGCGGCATACAGTGTGTCGGCCATCGATTAACCGACAAGTGCCAAAGCGCGTCGGCATTTTTACATATGCCGTCCAATATTTGAGCCTTATCACTGGTCGTTGCGAAAGCACTATATTAATCTCGAGTGTTCGAGTGTTGCGCGCAATATAAGAAGAAGGATCTAAAATAATCACGAACATTCTTGAACAATGAGGCACAGTTTGCGCTGAGCATTTATGGTACACTCTGCGGCCAAAAACCGAAAGAATGAAACAGAAAATAAGAAACTTGCGTGGCAATAGACATTATTAAATCCCGCTGTACTCTCAAGAGACAGATACGAATATATAAAGTATAAAAGACAGTACGTTAGCAAAGTAGTGAAACCGATTTGCTACCATTTACAGGTTTTAAGGAATAAACATCGAAAGTAAGATTGAAATAGAAAGAGAGCTAAAATAAAAACAAAAAATGAACGCACACATGCACAAGAATGCAGGTCCTTCCGGTCGGCATCTTTTGGAAAGAGCAGTTGAAAACAAAAAGTGCAGTATACTAGAACACCTGCTAAGCCATTTTTTTGTGACATCAACTTCGGTCCATGGCGGATAATTTTTTTTTCACTAAAGAGTCTCGTCACCCAGTTGGTGGAATGCATTGCAGTGGGATAGTCTCTGAGGACAGTATTGCGGACATTCGCGCAGAAGATGCTACATTGTTTCGTCACTGCCGATCGTGGCTATAAGGCTGCGGAGTCTTTAATTCCTATTCAAAACGCGTACGCATTGGTAAATGTGACACCTAACAATAGCCTGCACAATAGAGAAGCGTCACCTCGGCGAAGTCCAGGAGAAATTTGAAGAGTGAGATTTGGGTCTAGGGTACATAGCCATGCGTTCTTGTAGTTTGGCTCATTTCGATGCGACATGGTGTGATTTCGAGCAACCACGGGGAGCCTCCATGCAGCGTTAGCTCAGGAGAGTTGAAATAGTAGTTGATCGTGTTCAGCATGAGGAGAACAGGCTGCCCAATCGGCTCGTTCATTGCTGATAATGACACCATGAACTAAAAAGCTCTGAAAATCCAGTTTATGCCTTTTTTTGATAAAATTATAGGTCTATTTTGAAATCTGGAACACCAGCTGCTCGGGCAAGTCATGGCGTAAATGTAACAAAAGGGGCGGCAGTCTCACCCTACTATCACTGAAATTAGGTCATTTTAACGTGATAGCGTTAAAAAGCTCGTTTTGCAGAAGTTCCGGCATCGGCGTTTGTGTTAGCGTTGGCGCCGTTGAATGTGAAAAATGAAAAAAATCTTTGCGTGATATAAAGGTCGAGAGAGATGCAGATAAATAAACAATAAAAATATCTGGGTTGGTAAGGTTCGACCCTGGTCGTTTACGTTGCAAGCGGGTGCTCTACCACACCTTCATGCTGCTGCTTATAACTGCAGTAAAAATACCTTCCTCTGCTTAGAACTGAAAGTAAGTTCCATGCTTTAAAAAAACACACAACCTGTACACGTGCTTCACAATATTTCACTAAATATTGCCGTAATAATCGGTGGCACATTTGAGCCTACATAGCCATTAGCCGTCATAACAGGGGATTATCATAATGATTTCATAGTTTAAAGCCAGCCAGCCACTTCAAAATGCACACACGCTACTGAACCCTTTGGGCCACATACCGGGTGCACTGCAAGTTTGAAAAGATTTCATACATAGTGCTTCAACTACGTACTTGGAACAGGTTACCGCTATCGCGTTAAACTCTAAGGCGATGATCGAGGGTTCCACAACTTTTCGCACCCTTTTCTAACTAATGATGTAACGTGGTATGAAGTGCTGTGAACTTTGCTGCCGTCTATATTGTAAGAGGTGGGGGGGTTGAATCTGATTGTTCTAGATTTTATTGGCATCAAAATATATGTCGTTGAGCTGTTCTGCAATACGGAGCGCTTGGTGCATACATGCATACAACTTTGGTAATTCTCGTATAGCAGGAATAAAGCAAGCTGCTTAAAAGCAGGTGATCATATATCTGCTCTTTTTCAGATTCAGCAATTGTCAGGCTGATCTTTGGCTGACTGTGACACCACGCAGTAATCGAAGGTCTCGCGGCGGGCATGAAGCGCGTTGTCAAAGGCTCAATAAGTGGTTGCAATTTGGCAAAAAAGACGAACGTTGTCTGTCTGCTGGTAAAATGGCTAGGTGGTAGCAGGGTGTCCGAGCAAAATGCCTTTATACGTGTCGACACTGTTTTAACATCACTATCAGTCTTGACGAGGTAGTCAGCGGCAACTGCTATAAAAGTCACCGTCGATGCACTTAGAGACAAGATTCTATCTCGAGTGCCTGAGCTTTGTAATTTTTATGGCCTTCTTTCTCTTGCTTTGGTCGTCAGAGGAATGCTGTACTGCAGGAAGACGAGAAAGAGCTCCTGGTACAGCTGTAACTTAGCGCTGGCTGAATTCTCCCAAGTTTTCCCTGCGAAGAGCTTCAACAGCTGACAGGTGTTATTGAACTGCTTTTTGATGCATGAAACGAGATGGCCCCATGATGAATCCATCTCTGTCATGATGCCCATAATGGTGTGTGATTAAAAAATATGGTGCAGTTAGAACATTGATATCTACGCCTTGATTATTCATAAGTTTGCACACAGAAGCCTTCAGGGTGGATTTCTCGGAAGAATTTTACAGTCGAAATCAACACAAAACCATCAGGAGATACAGTAACAGCTTTGTTAGACAATCAATGTGAGATAGATTGCACATATTTAAAACAGGGAAGTAATCTGCAACACAATAACGCCTTCGTACTGGTATATTCCGGCCCATAACAGCTTAGTGCATTGCATGTGGTAGAATTCAGTTTAACTGAATCGGTTGTTGTGATGACGTTAAAACTCTTATTCTTTCAAAAGTTCATTTGAGTATAGTAGGCAAAATACCTTCATAATTAGCAATTTTATTCTCTGTTTCTAATTGCGTTTTTCATTATTGGGGCGTGTGTTGAATAAACCGACTTCACTTACCAATGTGAAATGAGAATAGAACCTGCGCTCTCTGCTTATACGGTGAAAGAGTTTGTAGAAAGGCAGATGTATGAGGTATACACCGAAGCAGAGCCGTCCAAGTGGCACAAATCCATTCCACGAGAGAAACCGGTTGACGAATCCTACAGAAGAAAAATAATAAAATAACACAAAAACAGAATTAACAAACTAAACAAGTGAAATGAAAATTTGACTGATATAATGCTCCCATCTTTTATCTTTATTGCAACAAAAATCAATTAGGGCTCTTCCCTGTTTCTTTGCGTTTATTCATTGTCGTTGTGCTGTTTTTTAGTAAGAACGTTATGGTTTCAGAGAAAATCTACTGGTTTAAGACAACCTTGACGCAGAGATAAAGAGAATAACCCCCTCGAAGAACAATATTTACGTGTCTCTAATCTGAATAAAAGATAACCATTGCATCTGTAAATGCCGGCTTGTCCACCATCAGCGCAAGACCAAGTATTCTTCATTCTATAATGAATTACGCCTGACAGAGCATAATTGAACTCAAACAGTTATGCTTGATATGCCTATATCTTATAAAGCCATAGCAGTCATTGCCATGCTCCGGTCATGCTATTTTTTGTGCTGACCATTGCGTAAATCTATAAAAAATGCGAAAATCGTTGTCATCAACTGGTAGGTCAACGTTGAAGGAGACCCTTGTGGCAATAGACGTTAATTTTCTTCATTGAAAAACTTTCTTTGAATCAGTTGATTTGCCAATGCTAGTGCCATCAACCCAAGATTCAAAGCTATTTTGGTGCAGCAATGCGTGTTTCAAGGGCAAAGCCAGAAGTATCTATATAGGTCGCAGGGCATCCCACCGTCTGACACGCTCGAAAATCTCTTCATTTTAAAAAGACAGGGCGTGCAAACACGCGCACAAGAAGAAAACCATGTATGTGTGTCCTGACTTCCTTTTTCCGTCCGTGTTTATGCACCCTCGATTTTCAAAAAGAATACGTTCCAACTCGCTCCGCTTCTAGTATTCCAAGTTCATCAAGCTCATTTTTTCCTTTGTGCTTTTGTTCAATAATGTGCGTGTGTGTGTTTGTGCCCAAAAGTTTGGCTGCTAATAATTGCTTGCTTGATATGTGGCGTCTAACGTCCCAAAACCATGATATGAAAATGAGAGATGCCGTATCAGAGGGCTCCAGAAACTTCGACCACTTGGGGTTCTTTAACGTGTAGCCAAATGTGAGCACACGGGCCTACAGCATTTTCGCCCCCATCGAAAATGCAGCCACTGCAGCAGGGATACGTTCCCGTGTCATGCGGGTTAGCTGTCAAATAGCTGAGCCACAAGAACACTGCGATGGGGCTACTAACGATTGCATTCGCAGTATGACGCACATCAGTGACAACATCATTTTTTTACTAGGGCGTTAATGAGGGGGCACAGTAACACACTGAAACAACCACCAAATATACAACCTCACTAAAACTTTTGCTGAACACAAAATTTCACAGAAAGCTATCCTCACGCTTCGTCCAAGACCAAAGCCTCAATATAATTAGATGCTCCAGCCTGTAGCAGTTCTTGTGAACTCTAAACTACCCGCTAACTTAGAAGCTGTGTGCACGCGAACAGAGCAGAAATTTAATTAGCAGTGAAGCCCACAAGACATAAATTTTTGAAGTGGGTGCTCATTGCTGAGTATGACCGGTGCAATGAAAGTCGCACAGTGAAGGTGTCATCACATGCGCTGTGTATACTTTCAGAGAAAGTTATCTGACAACCGCGTAATGAAAATCTATAGAGATTTTGACTGCACTTATTCATACGTCAGATATTAGAAGAAGCAGAATTGACGTAGGCTAAAAGAGAGCATCTGCATAAAATAAAATTGCCCGAGACAGGGTGGTAGTGCGCTAACATAGACTGCTGTTTTGTCACGCTCGTCAGGAGAATGTTGGGTGCCCCAAAGGGACCACGAATGATGTGGAGGATCAGCCTTGCACATGGTACAAAAATTGTTGGCGAAGAAACATTCTCTACCATAGGTCGCTGAACTGGTAGGGCATCTTACGCGAATTCAAGGCGCTGTGTTAAGGTTCCAGTGAAGAAAAGGGGGCCTATTTGTATATATTGATTTCTTCGAATTTAGTCCAAAATAATAACTCTAAGGCTACAAAAACAAGAAATTATATTCTCTGCGTCTTCTTTGGTTTAACGGAGTGTTGGTTTCATCAGCTGTGTCTAACAAAAGAAACGGGCGCCTCAAACACTGCCTCTTTTTGTGCGATGTGAAATCCCTTGTTTTGGCCTTTTTTATAACGTTAGGGCTGTCCATAAAACTCATGTGGTCGGGAAAGCAAGACGCTAACAAGTGCTTGGTCAACAGGTTCTTAAAGAATATATTGAACTGAGGGTGAGCCCATGATCGTGCACACTAAAGTTGACTTCCCTGCGAGGCCTATACTTTTACTGCAACTGGCTGCACCTTAAGGCACTTGCCAAGCCACGGTTGACGCAATCTCTGTGATGTGTGAAAAATTACGCCACTGGTTAGGAAAACTTTCAGCCGTCATTTTTGTGGAAGTGGAAAGCGAGTCTGTGCAATATTGCAGAAAGTATTAGGGATGGTGAATTCTCATTACTAAAACAAAGTGGTTACAGTGTGCTTTCAGCTTCTTGAGTGGCTTAGTGTGTAATAGTCATTTAGTCTGTGAGCAATAATAATCACACCTGACTTTCAACGAACTGTGCAAGACGAGGAGGTGAGATCGGATTCTGGGATAAGCCATCCGCCATTATCCAAAATTTTGCCTCACAAAACAACCATCTCTTACTATAGCACAATTCGTGAAGGTACTGGCTTACGCACTGGAGCCCCAAAATGGACTGCTTAGGACAACCACCAGATCTTCGGCGAAGCCGCAAACTTGCAGACCTTCCACAGCTATCAACTATCTTTAGCCCTGATGGTCATATTTCGAACTGAGAAAAAAAAAACAGCAACACGAACACACACACAAGCACAGAAGTGCGTTTGTGTTCCTGTTTTCGTCGTGTAAATTTTGCGTACTTTCAAACTCTGCAGAACTGGTGAACTGAATTATGTAATAATATGCCTGATGGTATCGTACCGTCGGCTTTACAAAACACCCTTTACAACAGTGCAGTAAGCCACGCACATTACGAAAGCTGAAGAGAACGTCGAGGAAGCACTCAATTACTATACCGGTGGGTGAACTTATATGACAACCGGGATACTGCCAACCATGGTGGAGCAACGTACTACTTCTCATTGGGGAAACCACGTTGATATAGTTCGAGAATAATTAGAAGATTTCGACAACGAGATAAAGAAATTCTCTGGTGACTTTCTGGAGAAAAAGAAGAGTGCCAAGCCCACACTGAGTCAACGTTCTCATTGCCTGAAACACCTGCACAACGTACATAAAACTTCTGAGGTTGTACTTGTGAACGCACTCTTTTTGTTAGAGATGGAATTTGGAAGATGTCATAAGGCCAAACCACCACGCGAGCCGAGCCGCAGGGCCGGAACGGTAATGTGACACGAAAGTGAACCCCCTGTGGCGCTTGCGCGTGGGCGACTGTGCGCGGGCTCTGAGAGAAGACAAAAGAGAGACGGCTGTGTAATTTGAGAGACGCCGTATCTTTGTCTCTCCAGCAGTTTTCTTTACTTTGTCCTAAATAAACGTCGTTTTGTAAAACTAACCGTTGTTTCTTTACCAGTCATCTCCCTCCTGTCTCTATAATTATCATCGTTTTGCATCTAACAATTCAGAAGTGAGATTGCGTATGCCCGAAGTTATTCATCGAGCCCGACCATGCCTGTCGCTCGCAAAGAAACATACTGAACGGCTTCGACAAGCGAAGAGGATGGCGAATGACGAAGCACCGATGGCAACGAAGGCAGCGCAAGCCGAGGTGTGCCCGACAGTGTGTCCACCAGCGGCACCACTACGGCACACAGACCATTATTCGACATGGTGGCAGTCAATCAAGCTAGCATACCAGCAGCATTGAGGGAAGCCATGAAAGGGATCATGCATGTCCAGTCGCAACAGACAGCAGCCATGTCTGTCTTTAGCACAGGGGAAACATCACGCCTGGTCCCTTTGTTCGATCCAACTACGTCAGACTCGCCAAATATCGATACAGGATTGCGACGTGTGGATGACGTAGCGGAAGCCTACCGTTGGGCAAACAGAGTAGCATTTTGCCGCGCACTGGCAAAGTTGCATGGACCGACGAAGATGTGGTACGACTCCCTTCTGTCTGTTAATGAAATCTGGTAGGTTGAGCTCAAACGTGCCTTCCTCACGACAGCAGAAATGCAGAGGCTTTGCCAGGAAACGCAGGATCGAATTCGCAAGCAAGCTGAGCTTATTGAGGGCTACTAATCTGACAAATTGGCGAAAGAACGTCGTTGTAACCTCAGCGAAAAAGCTTGCATTGAATATTTGATCCCCGGCCTAAACAATGAGGATATCATCTGAGCTATCAACACCCACATGTACGACTCAACAGAGGAGCTTCAAAGTTACGTAAAGCGTCTAAAAGAGCGGTTCGGAACCGTTGGCTCCCGAGAATCAGAACATTCCAGGACAAGCGAATTTCAAAATCCTGCGGGCTATGGCAACAACGAAAACGAAGCCGCGGTAACGGCCTTGAACGAAAGCAAACAAAACCAAGAAAACTATGAACCGAAGAGAAAGACCGAACCGTCTGGACTTAGGCGCAAACACCCCGCTTTCAAAAAAGGAGGGCCGTGCAGTTTTAACTGCAAGGAGTCCGGTCACGTCTCTTTCAACTGCCTGGGTCCACAGTGGAGGTCGATGTGTAGAGTTCGCAACTAAAGTGGACACAAGGCACCGAACTTCCGCAAAAGGGAGAGCGGGCTGCGCCTCTTTCAAAACGTCGTGGATCTGGTCATCCGCACAGTGAACCGTGGTGAAGGATTGTACTTCATGGTGGCTAAGGTTAACCGGAACGAATTGAGACCTTGCGTTTGCCTCGGCAGTGCGTGTGTCACTCACTATTTAGTGCAAGGATGCAGATCCGGTCGGGCTCGAATATATGGTGCTGGATAAGCGCTGACTATTGGGGGCTATGGGTCAGGGCGTGTGATGCCGTGTGGTGAGG